AAACTAGCTATGCCACCCATGTATGGTAATATTGAGGACCTTCATATATACTGAGATCTTCAGGATATGAACTGGACCCTTTGTATAACATTTGTTGACTTGCCTAAAGATAAATAAATCATGCAGTGAGGTGGATGTATAGAGCACCCAAACTTTATTTAGAGGTTTCAGGAGCCTGGCTTTACAGTGATGTTCAATCCAAGTTAGGTGTAATGAAGACTTTTGAGACCCACTTTGAATGAGATTGGATTGCATTTCGCTGTACTTGAAATGTGTTTTCCCTTCACATACACTGCAAAATTCTGAGAGCTAAATTCAAGCAGAGATTTATTTTTATTTATTTAAACTATTTTGGTTTATTTGGTTCTTAAGTAAAACATTTTGATTTCACGGGATCTGTGTTGAAACCAATGCCATTATTTGCTGGCCTGCATTATTCAGTTCATAACAAATGATCCAAATGTTGCCACATATCCATATGTCACTTCTAAAAGAAAGATGGGTGATTTATACCACAGTGAGATCACCCTAGTTGACATTTGTAGCACTTTTGTTAATTCAGTGATGCTGACTACCACATCTGGGCTCACTCTGTGCTTATTTGAAGTATAGGCTGACTGTTTACAAAAGCATGACCTAGTTTTTTCAAGTACTGATTTACATTGGATAACACTCTTCTGCCTATCTGTTTGCTGATATTCTGTTAACACTACAGTTCTAGAGATATTTCCCAACTTATTTTTTTATCATTTGCCCTATTTGAACCATGAACTAATAGCCTTTTCTCATCAATTTCCATTTTTCTTCTATCAAGTTAAACTGATAAGCTGCCAGTAATAGGCCAAGAACAACATTTGGTTCAGAAAGCAGGCTTTATACCTCTTCAATATGCCTTGGATAATTTCCTTTTTACTATTATTATTATTATTTTCACCCTCCTACAAATACCTGAAACAAACTTTTAAGGTCAGTTTTGTCATTGTCATTATTTGAAGGGGGCTTTCTATGCATTTAAATGTCTGTCTTTAAGGCTGCAGTTTTTTCCTGGAGGAACAAACATTGAACTCAGTACAATTTCTGATAATATATATGTGTAGGATTATGCTATATGTTTTTGTCCAAGTCTTGGACACTATATTACAGCTCAGACAGACTATAATATGTACCAAAGGCTGATTATTTCAAGATTTAGGAAAGCACTTCTCCTAATTGCAATCTACCTGGACACTAATATCAACATCTGAGGACTTCTGAGTGCTACCTAAATGGTGGCAAGAAGGAAGAACATGTTGGTGGTGTCTGCTTGACTGTGGAATGATCTCCCTACAGATGCCCACCTGGAGTCAACTCTGACCTCCTTTTGGCACTCTATGCCAAGAATTTAAGGGCATTATTTGATGGCTTGATGGAGACACGTAGGTCAGGATTTTTAACAACTTTGTCCATTAAATATTACTGGTCGTAAAGTGTTATATGTTCAGTTTTATACTTGGAATAATTATATGGTGTTATTGTATTATGGTCCTTTGTTAAGAATTGCTGTATACTTCCCAGGGAAATTCAGCTATTGGGAAGTATATACATGAAATGAAATGAATGGATGCATAACTTGAAGGTCCTTTGTACTTGAATAGACAAATGTAGACAGTCTGTTGAAAATGTCTGAGCAACTCTTCCTCAGTTTCGGCAAACCCAATATTCCTTTTTTTTTTAAATCTCATGGAACATATCGTGAATGAATTTGCACAAAATATATAATATATTTAGAATGAAATGCTTCAAGTTTTTCTTTTTAAAAGCTTGGAAATTACTTTCAGATGTGGTTAAAAAATAGTGGTTAAGGGTAAGATAAACAATGACTGTAAAATTGGAAATGGATGCTTGAGTGAATGCTTTATTGTATCTATTAAAGTATTCAAGGAATTTGCCATTGTATTATCAAGAGATGATTATGTATATTCTGCTAAAAGCAAAAATATGTTATGCTAAAATGTGGAGAACTATATTAATTCCAACCATTGCAGAGTGGGACTTTGAATTATATTACTGTGTAGTTATGTCTAAACCAGATGATTACCTGCATAAGAGAAGGAAGAGAAGTTACAGAGAAAAAACAATGTGTTTGTTTTTTGTTTTGTTTTCTTTGATGAGATGGAAACCTTTTATTGAAAGTCAGCAGAAAGGAGCACAAACTTCTACACTTAGGATATTTATTCATTAAAACATGTTTTTTTTATGTAAAACATTTATACCCTACCCTTCAGTCTGAAATGCTCTCACAACAACTTACAGATTAATAAAAACAAGACAGTTTCTTCCCTCAGGCTTATAATTTCAGAGGTTGAGATGGAAGGAAAAGGAGGAGGGAAGGGGAAAGAAAAGATGGAAAGTTAGGTTCCTCAATTGTTGTTGTTACATGCCATCATCTCCAACTTATGGCAACCCTATAATCATTGGCTGTAATGTTGCTATAATGGAGGGGGAAACTGTTGGGCTTCTGATCATGACCAGCTGGAATGGAAACAGAATGAAAGAGAAGACAAGACAAGCATTGCCCTGAGCTGATGGACTATCCCTGCTTCCTGCCTCTCACTTTTCAACAGCCTGTTCACAGCATGCCTGGATAACAACTGGGGTAGAAAAAAGGCCTGGTGAAGCTGGTGTCATTTATGGTTATAGGTTTTGTCTTTTGTTGTAAAACTGTCTAGTACAGTATAAAATATTTTTCCAAACTTCTGTGATTAATGCCTTTCCTTGTACAACAATCTACTTTGATGCAAAGCTTTAGGAAACATCTAAGAACTTTCCTTTGTTCTCTGATATCTGTTCAGTGCAATGCAGTAGAATCCTTCATTTTCTACATCTTTTAATCCTGACTGGGCTCTGCCAAGAGCAGAGATGGGTGAATCTAGCAGTTTCATTTTCTCCCCTTATTTCCCCCACCACCACCCCATGAAGTTCTCTCTCCTGACCCATATTCATTCTTGTTTAGTATTTATTATTATTATTATTAAACAAAACCCTGAAAAAGCCCTTACCCATCCATACAAGGTATTCAATAAGTACATCTACTTCTAGCATGGATTAACACAGGCCAGCCCCTAATTGAATTTTCCATTGAGTACAATTGCTGCAATAACAGAGTCCAAACTACTATGCTGCTTTCTTTGTAAGACAATATAATTATTAAGCTTTGTATCTATGGTTGCCAAAGTCTCATCACTGATTCTTACATAAAATTCCAGGAAAAAAACTGATTAAAAGTAACCGGGGGGAGGGTTGGGGGGGTAGGATGGAGCAGAAAAATGAAGCTGGGGAAATAGTGCATGCATCCTTGGTGCCCCTGGTTTCCCCAGACAAGGCATTCTATGGACAGCTTTTGATCCACTGCATGCAAAGTCTGATCATTCTCAAAGCATCCTCAGTTTCAGGTGGATTAACAGTGCCTCTGAGGAACTGGCATAGTTAATGTTATTCCCCCCAAACCCAATTGTGTGAATGGGGGTGGGAGTACACACATTAGAGAACAAGAAGGAAAATAAAACACCCACCCACCCCATTCCCAGCAAGCAGACAGGCCCATGGAAGTAGCAGAGAATCCTACAACATGCTGTGTTCACATACAACTCCATACAGGAATGTGTTCTCCACTTTTGTTTCTCTGTGACTAATTTTCCAGTTATATCACAAACCTTCATAACTGTGAAAATGTCTTTAAAGATTACATGGTATCACATGAGAGGCATTGACCTGCATTTCTTCAATTGGCTTAAGGTGCAAAGTGCACATTCATTTTAACAGGTTGTTTTGGTTTGTAAGTGCTAAAAGCATTCAAGATCCATTACTTAAATAAAATTCAATTTTGTGAATAAGGCTGATGTAAACATTTAACTAACTCCAGCAGAGTGTTTATGTTCAGGTGCAAGGCTTTAGTTCTAAAGTGTGTTCTATCTGCTGACACTTAGTATTAAAATAAATTCAGTTGACACAGTCCTAACATAGAATTACCTTTCTTCAGGCAGAGGTGCTTATTTCTGTTTACTCACTCTCTTCGCACCCTACCCCTCCCCTCCTTTCCCCTCCTTTTACAGAGAAATATACAAACTGTGTTATTTAAGTGATTTTAAAGTATTTAATTTCCATATTTAGACTTTGTTTTTAAATCTCCCAAAGCAGCAACCCTATAAACAACAAAGAACCATACTGTGATTGAATTAAATAAAAATTAAATTTACAAGCAATTTAAAATGGCAGAAAGATTCCAATGAACAGTGTTGGTGCTACAAGAAAAAAAATTATCCAATGGCTGTTTTCCAAACAATCCATCACCCTTCTGATGGTGTAGGGGCAATGAGCAGAGCCTCCAAAGTTGACCTTACTGCTTGGATAGTTTTATGTGGAAGGAGATGGTCCTTAAGAAATCATCCTAATTCATGTAATGCTTAGAAGATCAAAAACAGCACTTTGAAGTGACTTGAGTATCAAATTGGTAACTGATGATGGCACAGTAACATACTTACAGGATCTACCATGGAAGTTTCTGAATTATCTTCTGAGATAAGTGAATGCAGAGTACATTAAAGCATGAGCGACCAAGGCCATGCCCAACTTTTTTCTGGAAATGGGGCTGTTGGCATTCCAGGCACTCAAGAAATCAGATCATACAATTACTTAACATTTGTGGATAAATTTCATGCAGCCATAACCAGGAAAAAATGGACAGACTATAGGCCTTGCATATCTATTTGGCATCTCCCTGTACTTCCTGCTCACTAGTGGCCTACAAATTCCTATGAGCAACTGTCTCCGTCCTGATAAATGTCAAATTGTAGCTCTTTGGGGCAATTCCTTATGTTCCATAGGAACACTGTTCCCCGATCCCAGCCTAGCTGGTGTGCTTCTTTTCAGTCTCTGAAAGAACTCTCACAGGTTGGCTGTGGAGCACTGGAGCAAATGCAACCAGATGCCAAATATATGTAATAGTTCCTCTACCTGGGGCCGCTCACTTCAGCAGCACATATACTAAAATTGGAATGATGCAGAGAAGATTAGCATGGTCCTGCACAAGGATGATACACAAATTCATGAAGCATTCCATATTTTTAAAATATTTTAATAACTAATGCCATAAGAGCTTTGTTTTATATTTTTGATTGTATTTTATTGTTATTTTCTTTTTTAATGTGTTACTGGTTTTTATTGAGTTTTTACTGTGCTTTTATCTTGTAATTGCAAGTCGCCCAGAGGTGCTGTGGCAAAATTGGGCGACAAGCAAATGTTTCAAATAGTAAATAAATAAATAAATAAATTTTCATAGGTATGGCTGCATTAAATTGAATTGTCCTTTGTGGCTTAACAGGGGATGAATGCATTCATTACATTCAGGCACTACCAGGAAATACAACAAACACATGAAGAACTGAATGTGTGTTCAGATACTGGCACGTCTTCAGCATCCATATATGCTTTTTAAGGGGTCCTTTCCATAATCCTTTGATATAGATCTTTTATTGGGGGACTGGCACTGAGCACAATCTTAGGTCTCTAGTTGCTGCTCCAAAATAGCTCTGTCAGTGGGCTGGCAGAACCCTAAGGGTGCAGAAATACAAAAACTTGAGGAAAAATCCACACCCACCTCCAAGGGGAACTGACCATTTATTTATTTATTTAAAATACATATATGCCATCCTATTTCCAAAGAGCCTCAGGACGGCTTACAGTATAAAATAAAATATAACATAAACAAATTCCCAACCCACACTGGCTGCAGTTAAAAACATAGAAAAGACGATATTAAAACTTGTTAAAATATCTCTGGAATAAAAAGGTCTTAACCTGGCACCAAAAAACAAATAATGACGGTGCCAGGCGGACCTCTCTGGGGAGCCCATTGCACCACAAGTTCAGCTAATCAGGCTTATTTATCTCACTAACCACTTAAAAGTCTTGTAATCTGGAGTGTAAATTTAAACACATCTTTACTGAATAATAAAATGTCTGAGTGGCAAAAGAGCATATGAATGAAGTTTTTTTTTTTTCCACTGGGTCTTTGGTGAATAGGAATATTTTTAAGGATGGAGGAGAAGCAGGGTCTTCTCTGGCTTTGAAAGTGCCACATGGAAGTGGTCTGAGGATGGAAAATCTTTCTGTCTTTCTTTCTTTCTTTCTTTCTTTCTTTCTTTCTTTCTTTCTTTCTTTCTTTCATTTTTATCCCATTTCCACATTAGTATGACACTGTACCTTGAATTTTTGTGCGGTGGGCTTTCATCATCTATTGTCTCCCAGATCTCATCATGTGATAAGCATGCATTGGCTTGAAATAAATATCTTTAAAATAGCAATATATATGAATTGCTATTTCATATATATTTCAGCTTGAAAATCTTCAGCTTAGACTGTTGAAAATCCAAACATTAACAAAAGCTTCCAAATTCCCTGACTTGCAATCTCATTTGAAATGTATTCTTTAAATGGACATTTATTAAAAATACACATTTCCATGTCTCACTGAAAAATCCTATGAGCTCTAGGCTTTCCAGATCCAAGACCCAGATCCAGAGACCGAGGACCTGTGCTAAGATTCCCCCCTCACCCCACCCCCACACATACACACAGAGAGCTGGCATAGAAAGGACTGTGCTGGCTGCTTCTCAAATATCAGAAAATCAACTTCAGAGAAGGGCAAAGGGGTGTTCCTGAGGTCGGGGGTAGGAAGAATGCAGGACCACCATAATGCAGCACATTCTGGCAATGCTCCATCTTCCTTCCCCCCAAACTTAAAGGGCCATAGCCAAAAGTGACTACCAAGCTGACTTCAAAAGCAGGAGAGGTGGGCAGCTTCGAGTACCCTCCACCAATTTCCCTCTTTTGCAGTTTATGCTCAGAAGCCCCTGAGTTTGGAGGCTTACTGGCATCAAAAGCACAACTCACTGGATTGCAGCCTTAGTCTGAGAAATGCACAATGAAATAGCATTTCTCTATTACGGTGTGAGTGCGTGCATGTGTGTGCATTTCAATCTGTGATGGGTTATGGGACCCAAAACAAATCAAGTGTTGGGCAGGGTGGATCTGTTTTTAAAGTCATGGTATTCCATAATTATATGATACTGGAAACTGAGCAATGAACCAAATGGAAAGGGCAAAAGCAGAGGACAAAGGGTGCTGAACACAATTACATAAATCAACAATGATGGCAGACCAGCAGAATTAATGTTAAACATCTGTCTGCACACATTACCAACTAGGGAATATATCCCATTGAGCTCAGATGGACTTACTTCTGAGTAAATATGGCTAGGTCTATGCTGCCTGAATAAACACTTATTGGCTAAATCCCAATTCTGCCTCATGCAGATGTAACAAGTAGGATGAATACCAAGTTCTCATCAACCCAGAAATAATGTTCAGCATGGCAATGTAATATAATTGCATTTTCTGTGGCATAACTAACTTAGCCTGTTTCTTGCCACTGCTGCTGCTTTCATTTTTCCAGTGGAGGTTTTAAAAATCTTGTACAGTAGCTCTTATTTATGGTTTGGGCAATTAATAGATAAATGTAGATTTCAATATATGTAAAATTCATTTCTACTTTTGCTATTTCAATTTAAGTTCTTTTGCATCCAATCAATGTTTTTAGAAAATACTTCTGTATATGCTGCTCTTGCAAAAACCATCCCAGATAATGTTACCTAATTAATCAAGTTTACAAGTTTCCTAAAGTAAAGTATTGTAATGAATTACCCAAGTCATATGTTGATGTGCTTTCTGCAACAGATTCAGTATGTGCATTTATTTGTCACATTTATGCACAGCATTATACCCAATTCATGCACAGTGGTTCCCATACCTTATAATTTAATAGGCATGATGTTTTTTTAACAAATAAGGGGATTCATTAATTATCTATTTGCAATATTTGTATGCTGTTCCATGTTTAGGCAGAATTCAGAGAGGTGAACAGTCAGAAAGCAAAAACAAGTAAAAAACAACAACAACCCCTATGCATCCAGGAAAGCTGATTTCCTCGTAATCTTGGTGTCACAACAGATGAAATAGAAGCACTGAAGGCCTCTGAGAAATTTACAGGCTCCCATTAGCCATGCAGTCCTACTTGTCCTTTCAACTCAGGTAAGAAAGTGTTAGAAGCAGGAAACAGGCCAGGAGCAAGGGACATTTGATGAATGAATGTTTTGGGTTGAAACCAGCAGGCCCTGCTTCATTTAATGCACTCTATATGTTTAGTGAGCTCTGGAGAGGGGACTAAGTCTGCACTCCCAAGATCTACTCAAGACAGGGAACTCTCCGGCCACCCCTTTAGACTTCCACATGGTCAACTGAGAATGCATGGAAAAACCTCCTACATGTATAAGCTGAACATTTAGGAAGGTTTTTCACATGTTCATTTTTCACAATATGAGCCGTCCCATTGCCTTTATGTATTCAGTGAATGTTTGACGAGAAAACAGTAAATGCCACTGTCAGAAACCATGACAGTTCTCTCGGTGGCGGCAGCTATTCCACAAAATTATTTATTTATTTATTCAAAGTTCTATTCCGCCATAACAAGTCTGAAGACTCTTTAGCCAGATTACAACATTTCACATAAAATAACACCCAATTTAAAACACACAAAAACAGCATACAATAAAGCAGAAATATGCATCTGAGGTATCAAATATCAATAAGCTAAAATATTTTAAAACTAAAAGAAGAATAAATAACATCCTGAAATTGTAACATTATAAAATCAGTTGTAAAAATGTCTGAAGAAGAGTACTATTTCAGTCTGGTGTCGAAAAGATTGTAAAGATGGCTCCAGGTGGATTCCAGGCTCCAGGCCATTCCATAAATGGGTGCAACCGCTGAGAAGAGTTCAGTGAAATGTGAAAATACTGATACTTTATCAAAATTTTAAAGAAGATGGACTATAAGTCTAAGTAAATATTCTAAAAAACTTCTGAAATATCATATATGCTGAATTCTTACATCTAAAAATGAAATGCAATATTCAGTAGACCTGTGACCTATATATAATCATGTTCTGAATGTTAAATGTAAACAATACTAAGATGTTTCAATAGGCTCAAACCTCTGCTCCTCCAACATCCAACCAGGTACCACCACAATTTCTTACCTGCTGTTTCAGGACATAATGCTCACATATCCTATCAAGTCAATTGCATAGTGTCATAATTAAAAGCATTTTTCTAAGTAGCAGTCACTCTGGTCACAAGTATTCCCACTGCTGTATGCAATGTACAAACAGAGGGCTAGTTCAAGCTTGAGAGTTAAAGATGCTTGCAGGTGCCCTTGGTTAGGGTGAGATACGCGCAAAGGTTCTTTCATTATCAGCCTCAGCATCTTACTGCTTATAAACACGACACTTGGAAGGATAATAACCTGAACTATGGCAACCATAATACTTGATAAGGTCAACAGTTGTGGAAAATTTCAGACTGATCTGATCCAAATTGTGACAGATACAGCGAGTTAAAAAGTGCTGAAAACTAACAGATTTATACTTTTTACCCATGCTCCAGCTCAGTGTATCACTTTTCTTTTAAATTCTGAAATGCCTGATTCAGGTTTGCCAAGGAAGTGAGCCTTTCATTGGTTGGGTGAAATTCCGAGCAGTAGTTTAAAGGTTATCAAGGCATTTCTGCTCTGAAAGCCTAAAGCAGCAGCTCCTGGCAACTTTATGACTGGCATGTTCAAGTTTGTGTGTGTTTACAAGTTTGTGTGTGTAGCATTACATTTATGCTACATTTGTGCTCCTCCTTTCACTTTGAAGATGGAATGCTACCGGTATCTATTCTGCCCATTTTTACTATTCAGTTTGAAACTTCAATCGTCAATGCCTACTTTGATGCAGTTGATTGACACTTTATAGTGCTTAGTCAGATTTTTCAATTAACTGGCCAAAGTCTGAATAACTGAATGTCAGAGATAATGTCCACCATGATGTATTGTTAGTTTCCTATGACCATCAGTGTTGCCCAGACCATTTTACCTACCCCAGACATAGAGTTCAAATTTTAAGTTAAACTTTGATAAACTGATTAGTGAGATAAATGTGGTATAGCTAGTAGGATATATTTGTAGCCG